TATATTTAATAATAGCCATCAGTCTCTGCAATGTGCATATAGGGATGATTTCTGCAGATGAAATAGTACATTTTACTGCCTTCTTAGTCAGCTTGTATATTCATATTATTAAGACTATGAAATTATCCTAATGCCTTTCAATTTCATATCAACAGTCCCATGTTTACATCTGCAGATAGATATTTAAAACATATTGCTGACATTAAGTATGTGAGTTTTTAATATCTGAAGTGCCCAAATGGTTCCACTTCCAACTCTCTTTTGATTTTTAAAATAAATATTATCAGAAAGACTTGAAGCTATTCTTAGGAATGGCTTTAATGTTTAGGTCTTGTCTAAGAATTAAACTTTTGCCTAATTGTTCATCAATAGCAGTTACGTCTAAAACTGGATATAAAATTATTACTGTTCTTATTGATGATCTGTTCTGTAAACTGGCCATGTTTATCCACCCGAAAAAGTATGGATGTAGGCCATTCAAAATCTGAAAGGGCTCTGCCTTATCAAGACTGTCTCCTACCCCGTCCTGGCTGTGTAAGGTCATAATGGGTTGGTTGTCCGTAAGAGAGGTGGAAACGCGTACACTCAACATACATGGGGATGGGCTCAACCATCCTACAGAGACAGTGGTTTGGGAGAGGGACAGGAGGAGGACTTGCAGTGATAGCTTCCTAGATCTTACACCTTGAAGCTGTTGCTCCTGGCTTTGTAAAAACACAAAAGCAGTTTTACTTTTACAGTTATGTTACACTTAGTTTTGAGGGGCTTAAAACACCATTGGCATGAGTTTTGCTAACCGGAAGCAATGAATTAAATGTAGATTTAAGACTCTGGCCTGATCTTTCAGAGATATTTCAATGGTTATAGACATAAACATAGACAAGAGAAAACAGCCTCAAGTTGCACCGGGGGAGGTTTAGATTGGATACTAGGAAAAATTTCTTCACTGAAAGGGTTGTCAAGCATTGGAACAGGCTCTCCAGGGAAGTGGCTGAGTCCCCATCCCTGGAGGTAGTTAGAAGACATGTAGATGAGGCACTTCGGGACAGGGTTTAGTGGTGGACTTAAAGGTCTTTTTCAACCAAAACAATTCTATGATTCTATGACTCTGATCAATTTTGTGCATATTCCTGTGTCTGAGGTCCTACCACCTTTGAGAAAACCAGCTGGAGGTGGCAGAGAGCATTAAAAACCTGGGAGACACAGGACTTTCTTTGCCTCTCTGCCTTCACACAGAGATTCAGATGGTCTAAAAGAGCGATCTGAGATGATACTTTGAACTTCCAGGGGTTTGGTTACTTGTTCAGAAGGGCAATAACATGTGAACTTTCTTTCAAGCCCCAGGAAGCACAGCTCAAAATCCTATTTGTCTCCAAGCTTGTGTGTGTAATTAGGAAACTGAACAGATGTCTGAATATGGGAATTGTCCTGAACTTTTCAAGCAGTAGAAAACTGTGATACAGAGCAAGTACAAACTCTGCCAGACTGCCGTAGAATTTACAGGAAAAGGAAGAAGAAGAATTTACAGGCAAGGAACACATTCAGTGGGGACTCCCATGATGACCCACTGAATAGCACCATGTTTGCAGTATAAGTACTGTAGCCTTTAAAAAGGGGATGGTGACATTAAATTTCCATTTAAAAAGGTAATATATTGTTCTTTTAGTCTCATATTCAGATAGGCAGACTGAAAGGGTTTCTTTAAAGAGCTATTTTTTTTACACACTGTTAAGTCCACTTTTGAGGTCTCACCCAGAATGAGAACAGAGTAGGCACAGAGCAATACATTTATCAGAGTAATAAGTTTAACATTTTGCTTTTAGTCAGCTTGACTTTCTCATTCTAACAGTGTCAAAATACTGCAGGACATGACATGCGAAGGAAATGTCATCCTTCAAAAAGAATAGATTTTGCTCTCCTTGTGATGTGAGCCTCTACCTCTTTGCCCTTTGGTGGTTTCAGCAGGCTACAAAAGCTTGGTCATGAACCTCCCAAATCCTTTCTTATACTCCCATGCACAAGGCTGTTAAGCTTTAGGATAATAATAGATTCAGAATTTTTAAAATAGCATAAAATAAAGCAGAAATAAGAACTGAAAAAAAAAAAAAAAAGAATATGTAGTCAGCCTTTATCGATCTGCTGCTTATACTGTGGGGCAACCACTGGGACAAGAGTTTCAATTGCATTTTATTAAGACTTTGGAAAAACAATCAGATGAAAAAAAAACCCCACAAAAACAAAAAAAACCAACAAAACCCAAAACAACCCAGTCTGCTGTGTTCAAGAACTGAGAACTATGAAAATCGAAGGATGTGGGCTAGATTTTATTCTGGAAGAACACTTGACAAGCTCAGGCACAGAGGAGGAAGTGCAGAAGTCAGGATTTTCCTTCTGCAGTGCTCTCATCACTGTGAAGGACCTGTAGCTGGGACACTGACATATGTCTTCTGCTGAAAGAAAAGTGATCTGTTTGTGCCTAGTGCACCAAAGCAAAAATATCCAAAATAGTCGCTCCTAGTGAGTAAACTGCTGTTGTGGCACATTAAGAATCTGTTTGAGTATTCTGTCACTTTGCATCAGGAGATCAGTAAATTAAGTCTTTTAAACTGTCAGAGTGTATTGAACAGTGATTGTCAAAACAATATGACAATAATTCATGAATTATTTTAGTTCTCAGTTATATAAAGAAACTGTTTCTCAGTTTTCTGTTTACAAGAAAAAAAATCAGTAAAGCTACTTGCTGGCCTCCCAAAGCATCTAAACACAAATGAGACTGCTCAGTGAAGGCATAGATGACCACAGTTGTGTTTGGAGTTGGGATTATGGCCTGAAAATGGCGAAGCTCAAGCTGATACTCCTTGAAGAGTGGGAATTTGCAGACCTGATAACTTCACAA